CTGAGCCAAGAAAAGATATATATACACACACACACACACACACATATATATGTATATATATTGCAGTGGCGCAATCTTGGCTCACTGCAACCTCCACCTCCAGGGTTCAAGCGATTTTCCTGCCTCAGCCTCCCAAGTAACTGGGATTACTGGTTTCCGCTACCACACCCGGCTAATTTTTACATTTTAAGTCGAGATGGGGTTTCACCATGTTGGCCAGGATTGTCTCAATCTCTTGAACTCGTGATCTGCCCGCTTTGGCCTCTCAAAGTGCTGGGATTACAGGCGTGAGCTACTGAGTCTGGCCAGATTTATAATTTTTAAGTGAATGACATTTTATTTTTATTCATGGATAAAAATCATATCACAATAATGTATTTCACATTTTGAAAATTAATATTGTAAAGTAAGTCATGGGAACAGTGAAGGATCTTTTACAACCACTAGTGCTAAAGGGGAACATGCCTTAGACCCTCCCATTTCCTCTGGTGCCTCACACTGACCAAATGGAAGCAAGCATGCGAGAGACTGGCATTAAATTAAGGCTCTCTAGAAAACAGAGCCAATACAATGTATATACAAAGAGAGAAAGAAATTTATTATGAGGGATTGCTCACATGATTATGGAAGCTGACAAGTCCCAAGATCTGTAATTGCAAAGCTGAAGACCTATCAGAAGTAGTTCTAGTCCAGTCCAACGAGCACCAGGAGAGACAATGGTACAAATTCCAGTCTGAAAGCCAGAACACTGGACACCCAGCAAGTGCTGGTGTTTCCATTTCAGTCCAGACGCTAGAAAAGGCCCACGTTCCAGCTCATCCATTCAGCAAAAGGGGTTCCTTGTTGTTCAGAGGAGAGTCAAACATGTTTTGTTCTATTCCCACTTTCAACTGATTTGGATGATTAACACCCACATAAAGGAAGACAGTCTGTTGTTTTATTCAGTCTACCATATATGTTAATCTCAACAAACAGCCTCACAGATACAACCATAATAGTGTCTGACTAAATATCTAGGAAACCTGTGGCCTAATCATGTTAATACATAAAATGATCACAACATCAAAATTATTATATGCTATTAAGCAAGAGTCTCCAATCTTTTTGGCACCAGGGACTAGTTTTATGGAAGACAATTTTTTCACAGAGAAGACACATGGTTTCGGGACGTAACTATTCCACTTCAGATCAGATCATTAGGCATTAGTTAGATTCTCACAAGGAATGTACAAACTAGATCCCTTGCATGTGCAGTTCACAATAGGATTCACACTCCTACGAGAATCTAACGGTGCATTTGATCCGACAGGAGGCAGAACTCAGATGGTAATGCTCGCAGGCCCATCACTCACCTCCTGCTATGTGGCCTGGTTCCTAAGGGGAATTTTGCAATTTTGCAAAATATAAGCTTTGAGTATTTTTATTACTTTTTAAATTTTATTACTATTAAATTGACAAATCATAATTGTACATATAAGCTTTGAGTGTTTATTTTTTAAATAAACCAAAAAATGTTTCACCAATAGATAGTTCCTAAAGTATTCAACTAAATTAGCCAAGAGTAGTTTTGTAAGGACCACTAAAAGCTAAACTAATAAAGCATATATATATAACACCAAATTCAGAAGGTAAGAAAGAGGGTAATAGGCCATAGAATACAGTTCACCTGTAATTCACAATCCCTGAATGAACTATTTTCCTCCTGAAAAATGTCACATAATTTTAGCACATTGATAGACTAGTTCACCTGAATGTGACCCCCTCCTTTTGTTTGTGGCTGGAATTGTCATGGTCAGTTCATGATTTCATAATCACAATTCAAATCTGCAGGGCACAAGATAATCAACTGAATTTGGCATTATTGGATATCCTATATTGTACCATATTTGTCCCTTATCTATGTACATGTTTGTGAGATGGTCAAGAAATAAAATTATGATTAGTTAGAAAAAGTTTTTTAAACTAACTATAAAATTTCTGTATATAGACATGAAAATATATACAGAATGTAAAAACAAATCTTAAAACACAATGTATTTTCTCTATATTTCCTGGACTTTATACTTTTAAATCTACTTTTGCTTTATTTTAAACAAGATATTTAATCAAATTATTAATGTATAAAATTTCTAAATGTTTAAATAATTCTTTTTTTGTGATGATAGATATGTTCTATATCTTGACTGCATCAATGCCAATGTCTTTTTTTATTATAATTTTTAGGTGAAGTAACTCCGGAATAGAAAAATCAAACATCATATGTTCTTACTCATATACAGGAGCTAAGCTATGAGGACACAGGGCGTAAGAATGATACACTGAACTTTGTGGGCTCAGGGGAAAGGGTCAGGGTGACAAGGGATAAAAGACTACACATTGAGTACAGTGTACACTGCTCGGGTGATGGGTACACCAAAATCTCACAAATCACCACTAAAGAACTTATTTATGTCAACACCACCACCTGATCCTCAAAAATGTACTGAAATAAAAAAAAATGAATTAATTCTGAACATTAGTAATTGTCACTACTTATTTATATTCAAAATCAGGCAACAGAAATATGTTTGCATTTAATTAATGCTCAATCATGAACAGCCACAGGGAAAAAAGAGAAGGTAAAAAAAATCCATTTAAGAAATTCTTATTGTAATTTCTATTGTAGGTCTTCTCAATGGTACACATAAAATATGTCTGGGTCAAGCAATGATAGCTTAATGCCTCTAGAAGTGATACACTGATAGCTCCCTAGAGAATATTTTTATAATATATGTATTATTATATTTTATATTATAAAATTAAGTATATGTAAACATATTTGTATGAAAAATAAATAGAACCTATGAGATGAGAATTATAAGAAATAAAAAATGAGCTATTTATAATATTAGCAAGGGATCCAATGCCTTAGCTCAACTAGAATATAAACTAAGATATTATTGCATTTGTTAAAGTACTTTCTACAGTTGATACACTCTTCTATTATATTCTATTTCATTAAAAATGCTTTGAATAAAGGTTAAAATAAAAATATCATTAACGTGAAAATAATATTCATTCTGTTTTTATAACAGTATTATACCCAATTTTTGGAATTCTTCATTTCAAATTATTGTCATTGTTTAATATATTCTGCACATTACTTTCATCCAGTTCCCTTTATGTGTGTAAACATGTGTATCTGTGAGTTTTTGTATGTAGAGCAAGAGAAAGAGAGTACTGGGAATTGAATGTTTTCACCTTCAAAACTCATGCTGAAAATTAATCCTCAATGTGCCACTACTGAGAGGTGGCGCTTTTAAGAAGCAATTGATTCAAGAGGTCTCTGCTTTCATGAGTGGATTAAACTATTCATGAATTATTGGATTAATGGATTAATGAATTAATGGATTATCATGGGAGTGGCATTAGTGGCTTTAGAAGAGGAGAAAAAGAGACCTGAGCAGGTAAACTCAGCCCCCTCACCATGTGATGTCCTGTGCCACTTCAGAATTCCCGAGTCCCCACCAACAAGAAAGCACTCACCAGATGTAGCCCCTTGACACTGAACTCAGCCTTTATACTACAGGAAATAAATTTCTCTTCTTTTATAAATTACCCAGTTTCAGGTGTTCTCTTATAAGCAACAAAAAATGGACAAAGATAGAAAACTGGTGCTGAGGAGTAAGGTGCTGATGACAACAAATACCTAAAAATGTGGAAGCAACTTTAGAAATGCGTCATGGGCAGAAACTGGAAGAATTTAGAGGAGCAGACTAGAAAATGCCTAAGTTCTAGTGAGGGCTTAGAAGACAAGAAGACTAGGAAAAGTTTGGAAATCCTTAGCGATCGGTTAAGTGGTCATAAGCAGAGAACTGATAACAACATGGACAGTAAACACTATTCTCATGAGGTTTCAAATGGAACTGAGGAATAAGTTATTGTAAACTAGAGTAAATGCCATCCTTGTTATAAACTGGCAAATAATTTGTCTGAACTGTGCCACTGCTCAGGAGCTTTATGGAAAGTCAAACTTTTGAAGGATAAAGTAGGATATCTGGCAGAAGAAATTTCTAAGCAAAATATAAAAGAAGATGCACGGTTACTTTTGGCCACTCACACTAAGATTCTAAGCAAATAAATAATTTAAAGACAGAATTTATAATTAAAAGGAAAACATAACAGAAAGATTTAGGAAACTCTCGGCCTGGCCACATAAAAAGTGAAAAAGTATGTTCTGGAGAGGAAGCAAAGGTCGTAGCCCAAGGACTGGTTGTTAATGAGATTAACATGGATAGAAAGGAATGAAAACAAGATGCTAAAAGCATTTCAGCTATCTTTAAGGTTTCCCCTCCAATCACAGGCCCAGAAGCCTAGGAAGGCAGAATGATTCCAAGGGACAGACCTCAGCTGCTCTTCTTGGGCTTGCAGCTCAGGGCCATCTTAGGATTCTACTCCCCACACCTCAACACAGTGCTCCCTGGCCACCCTAGCTGAGGCTGATGCAGCTGCAGGTGGGGCTCATGCCACAGCTCTGGAAGGTACAAGTCATAAGCCTTGGCAGTGTCCATAAGGTGCTGACTTTGCTGCCTAGCAGAAAGCAAGAAAGCTGGAGGCTTGGCAGCCTCCACATATGTTTCAAAGGATGTCTTCAAAAGTCTGTGGTCGCAGTCACAGCTTGTAGCTGTGCAGAGCCACTGCAGCAGGCCCCCAGTAAAGCAGTGCCGAGTAGAAACATGGGGTTGAAGCTACTGTGGTGCATCCTCACAGGGCAATTCCTACTGGAGCCGTAGGAACAGGACTACAGAACTGTGGAGTCACCAGCAGCATGCAACACCCACCTAGGAAAGTTTCAGGCCCCAGGCTCCAACCCATGTTGGTAGTTATATGAGCTGCACCCAGCAGAACCACAGGAGCAGGGCTTCCTGAGGCTTTGAGGGACCCAACCCCTGTCCCAGTGTGTTCTAGAATGTTTTACATGGAATCAAAAGAGATTATTCTCCACCTTTAAGGCTAAATGTTTGCCCTGCTGGGTTTTGGACTTGCTTGGGGCTTTTAACTCTTATTTTTGATTCTTTCTCCCTTTTGGAATGGGAATGTCTCTCCTATACCTGTAACACCATTTTATCTTGAAAGTAGATAACTTGCCTCAATTTCAGAGGTTTACAAGTAAGACTCTTGAATTTGGACTTTTGAACTGATGCTGATGCTGAAAGGAGTTAAGTCTTCAGGGTTATGAGGGTGGAAAAAAACGTATATGTATTTAAAATTGTGAGAAAGACATACGTTTTGGAGCTCCAAGGGCAGAACGCTATGGCATGAAAGTTTGTTCCCTCTGAAATTCATGTTGCATGAGTTTTGTCCCCAATGTGACAGTATCGAGAGGTGAGGCCTTCAAGAGGTAACTGGATCATAGCCCTGATGAGGAAATTTATCAATTAATGGATTAATGGATTAATGAGTTGTCATGGGAGAGATATTAGTGGTTTCACAAGAAGAGAAAGAGAGACCTGAGCTAGCACACTTTGCCCCTTCACCATGAGAAGCCCCTTCACTATCTCGAGACTCGACAGAGTCTCCACCAGCAAGGAGACGCTCACCAGATATGGACCCTCAACCTTGAAATGCTCATCTCCATACTGTAAGAAATACATTTTATTCTTTATAAACTCACCAATTATGAGGTTTTTGTTATAAGTAACAGAAAATTGACTAAGAAAAAGACACAAAGAGACACAAAAATAAACATAATTTTCCATAAGCATAATTTTTATTGTCAAATTTTCACATGGATGTGACTCAAATTTTTATTTGATTTCTGTCTCTATTACATAGAATTATGAATATGTTTTGATGTTACTGGCATTATTTTTCAAGCATATTTAACCTAATTCAACCAGTAGTTTTTTTATATTATAACCAGAGAGGGCAAATTTTGAAATTATTTTTGTCTACAATCCAAGGATAATGTGCATTAAAGTAAGAAATAAGGTTGCCTTTGGCTATATATTGCTTAAGTGTGGTATCTTGTTATTGGATATACCATATAATAAGTTTTGTAACATGCATTATATAATCATGTTAAATTTATTAACACAGGCTTTGAAATAGTCATGAAACTATACATTTCACAAGATCAGAGTCATATGGTACACATCTACCAGTAAAGGTATGCACATTTTAAATCTGGTAATTAATTTCTTCCTTCATGTACAATGTGTTAGGTGCTAAATTAGATCCCATACTACATAATATTTTAAATTATGAACAGACTAGTAAATTTAATAAGAGAGGTATATGATATAAGGGGACATACATGGAGTGACAATAAATAAAAAGCATCAAGTGTGAGAGAATAACGCCAACTGATATATTTTTTCAGTGTTTATTATGTATCATGAACTGATGATGTAAGCAATTTTACATGTTTTATCTTTGTTACTTCCCAACAATCTTACTAAATATAATTTCAGATTGCCACCTTTGGACGGCTGAAAATACTGAGGCATAGAGAAAGAAGTTAAGTAAGTTCCCCAAAGAGAAATATACAGCTAAGAAGCGTTAGTTTAACCTGACCATGTGGCAGAAAGCCAGATATGCAAAAAAAAACATGGGGTAATGGATCAAGAATGGTAAACTGACATACTATTATACAAGAATTTCAATGAAAATTTAAGACGTTTTGTGTCAAATAAATGAATGAGGGCCATCATAGGTGATTGTTCTTTGGATATTAATTTTAATATATGCATGATGGAATAAGTACTCATACTGATCTTGAAAAACCTGACTTTCTAGTTACCAACTGCTTGTTCTTTCTATATTATTTTCTATTTGTTAGGCCTGAACTCTTTTTCTCAAATATATCATTTCTCCTTAACTTCTAAAACCACTTAATAAAAGCCTGTCTTCTGCCTACTTTTAGAAGTGATTATCTACTACTTATTTTTTAAAAACAAAGAAATTATATGAGGTAAGACAGTAGAGGGTCACATAATAAGACAAATATATGAAAGATTTGATATAAAAATAAAAATTCAATATCTAATTGCAGTATGTGATATACACTCAAAAATTGTGTGTGTGCATATATATATACACCCATATATCTATTTCCCAACAGCTTCCTTACATAACACTAGATTTCTACTTTTAAAAATATTACAATCTTTTTGTAATTTGATCTCTTTTGTGCTAATTTTCATTAAGTTTTACAAACAATTTTGATATTCATGAATGAAGTACTGTCTGTATTGTCTATTTGCATTGTCATTATGTATGTGAGCAATATCTTAGGAAGATTTCTACTGAACAAAAAAGCCCCTAATTCAGCATTGCAAGATGTACATCAGCAAGGTAGATTTCAAGAATCTTTTCAGGCAGAAGTTCTTATTCTAGAGCCTATGGACAACTAGGAGGCCATGAGAAGATTTCAAAATGTCTTTGAGTCTTTTAAGAGTTTCTGCAAGAATGAATGTGTATATGCATCTTTCATTGGTGCTCCTGGAATTTATAAAACATACATTAAGAAGCAAATATCAACAATGACTACTAGAACCAGGTTACTCCTAAAAGGGATGGCTAATCTGAAACACATTGATTTATTCTTTATTCCCCAGAGACTGAAGGATCTTGCTATCTGCCGACCTCTGGAATGTTCCCTGGCTTATTGAAGCTTTTTTGCTTCCAAAAGAGTTAATACAGGTGTCAGTCACTGAAACCCAGATTTTGGACTAATATAAATTAAATATTTATTCTTTCATGCCTATCAATCCTTGACAACTCACTGACAAAGGTTAACACTATTGAGACTCAGCTCCCAATTCACCTCTTGGTGATTCATTTGCAGCTTTCTCTTCAGTACACAGTGGAATATTTGTAATTGACTTCTCCTTCATTAAATCTTATGTATTTCTAGAATAATGAGTGAAGTTATACAAAGGCCTAAAAGAGTAGATAGCATAAAACATACCATCTAATTATTTTCAATATTAATTAGACATAAATGGCAAATAAATTTGCCACCTAGATGATTATTTTATTTAACACAAGAAATCCAGGGCTTTGATACAACTGAATATTACACACCATAATACTGAATCTAGAATCAACATTTTGTAATGTAGGTTTTCTTCCCAGTTCAGGAATCTTCTTGCCTGGTTATATTCTCCAGCCCAAGTAGATGGGAGAATATTGTTTGTAATTAGCTAATTAATTTGAACCTTGTGAGCAGTCCACTTGAAAACAACTGACTCTAAGTACGTGTGCCTTTAAAAATATCTTTTACATCATTTAATTAGATCATTTGTTGATTAAAAATAAAACTTAATCGTTGCCAAACTCTCCTAAAACCTAGTAAAATATAATCACAAAAATTAAGCCTTCCCAGATCCATTTAACTAAGGAGTCTCTAGTATAAATAGGATTTTAATGAAACACAGAATGTTATATGTATCCCTTTACTTTTGAAAAATGAAATATGTGAGAATGTGCAAAAGGTTTTATAAGGTGTGCTAAGCAATGACTGCATTTCCGATGAGCAGAGTTTTAGAATGTGTGTTTGTGTGTGTCACATTAAATTTCACCAAATTCAACATGTGCCTTTATCTTATTTAATATTAACAAGCAAAATCTCAAAAAGCACAATTAAATAAGAGTGTAAAAATACTTGTAATTTTCCATCTCAAAGTAAAGGTGAAAAAACAGAAAGTTATAGCAAGGAAACTTAGCTGTCTCTATCTTGGCAAAAGATAGAACAAGGGAAAAGCTCACTTGAATATTTGAACCATAGGCTTATATTCATTTAGATTTAAGATTTCAATCCTTTGGGAGGCCGAGGCGGGCGGATCACAAGGTCAGGAGATCGAGACCATCCTGGCTAACACAGTGAAACCCCGTCTCTACTAAAAATACAAAAAAAAAAAAAAAAATTAGCCGGGCGCGGTGGCGGGCGCCTGTAGTCCCAGCTACTCAGGAGGCTGAGGCAGGAGAATGGCGTGAACCCGGGAGGCGGAGCTTGCAGTGAGCCGAGATGCGGCCACTGCACTCCAGCCAGGGGGACAGAGCAAGACTCTGTCTCAAAAAAAATAAATAAATAAAAATAAATAAAAATAAATAAAAAATTAAAAAAAGATTTCAATCCACATGACAAATATGGTACCCCAAAAACCTTAAGTAGAGAATATAATTTAAGTGTTCTCACATTGTTAATGCCACTTGATGACTTGGAGAAACAAACTCTGATCATATCTTGAAGATACAAAAGGCAAAGGCAATTTTTTAAGATGTAACTGAAGCTCAGATAAGATATGGTAACTCTATGTAGGGCCACATAAGGAAGCCACTTCAGGGCTTTAAACAGAGAAAGAACAAGTTCTGAAACATTTCACTACATATCCCTTTGGATTATGTCTGAAGAATGGATTGAAGATGTAATAATAGAAACAGAGACATTAAATCGGAGGCCATTTTACTAATGAATGGGAGGGATGATGACGACTCAGACCAGGGTGTTATTAGTATGTCATAAAAAGTGATTCAAATATGTGTATTCTTGAAATCTGGTCAACAGGACTTGCTGATCTACAGAATGTAGGGTGTACAACAAAAAAAATGTCAAGAATAACTCCAAGTATTTTATGAATAATGGGAGTAACACAATTAATACCAAAGATGGTGCAGCACCGAGGGGGAATAGGCAGAGGTTTAGTGTCATGTTTGAGATGTGCATGAGACATTCAAGCAAAGGTGTCAGGTAAGCAGTTGTAGGTATGAGGATGGAATTTATAAGAGATCTCTGATATAGAGACATGATTTGGGCTTTTTTGTCATTTATTTAAAGCAATAATACAAGAGGAAATCACCAAGGGAATGAGCCTAGACCAAGAAGGGTACTACAAACTGGGTCTGAAGCACTGTGAATAGTGGAAGAAGAGCAATACATAAAACCTGTTTCAGAGAATGAGTGACAAGTTTTGTTGGGTCAAATACAGCAACTGCTCATGTGTAACTGCTATTGATTCCATGTTTGTATCCCTCCAAAATTTATATGTTCAAGTTCTAACCCCCAGTATGACGGCATTCGGAGGTGGGGCTTTTGAAAGCTAAAGCCCTCATTATGGGATTAAAGTCCTTAAAAACAGGGAAGAGACAAGAGATCTTTCTTCACTATATGAGGATGCAGTGAGTAGATGGATGTTTGTAAACTAAGAAGTTGACCTTCACCAAGGATCCACTCAGGTTGCCACATGGATCTCAGACTCCTAGCCTCCAGAACTGTGAGTATTTTTGTCTTTATGGCATTTAGTCTATTTTTGTTGTTTAAGGCATTTAGTCTATTCTATGCTGTTATAGCAGATTGAACTAATGCTGTGACATAAACAAAAACAGTTTAGGTATTGTGGGTGGAAAATTATAATGGGATAAATGTCTAAAAGGTTGTCTTTGTTAGATACCTTTGTATCTGTGGCCTAGCAAATAAGGAATATTGAACATTTCTTCAATTGTTAATTCATGCTAATACAGGCCTTAAGATTAATTCTTTCTATGGGAAATGCATAGTTCTAGGTTGTTGATGGCTAGGGAAAGAGGACTTTGGATATTTGTCAGAGAACTGCTTTTAGTAAATTATAATTTAGACAGCCTTTTAAAAATATAAATCATACAAACCATTCAGTGAATACAAATGGACCAGGAAGCTTTGCCTTGGCTTGTTTGGTCTGCTATAACAATTCCATTAACTGGACTGGGTAGTTTATAAACAACAGAAATTTATTGATCACAGTTCTGGAGGCTGGGAAGTCTAAGATCACTTACAGATTGGGAGTCTGGTGAGGGGCCACTTTCTATTTCATAGATGGCACCTTCTTAATGTGTCTTCTTACGGTAAAAAGGGCAAATGAGCTCCCTTTGGCCTATTTTATAAGGATATTAATGCCATTCATGGTGATATTGGTCTCATGAACTAATCATATCCCAAAAGGCCTCACCTCCTAATAACATATGAATTTTGAAATTCATATGAATGAAACCCATTCATTTGTTGAAATCTTGGATTTCGACATATAAATTTCGTAGAGACACAAACATTCAGACCATAGTAAGCATCATAAGATGTTAAATATTTCCCTCAAGTCATTTGGTTATAGAAAGATGTTACTGTTTCAAATAAGATGAAAACAGTACTATACCTAAATGAAAGATGCAGCAGTTGTACGAAATGGTTGGCAATAAAATTAGAAAAAAAATAAAAAGTGAGAAAGATTTTAAGAATAGTTACACACATCCAACTCCAGAGAAACAGGTGCTCTGCCTGTCAAATTGGGCTTTCAAGGCCAGGCACATCACTAAAGGCAAGACTGGTAGAAATTCAAATTTCCTAAGTTCATTTTTCTGACTCCACTCATTATAATCAAACTCTTGACCATTTGTCTCCTCAAGGAGCTGGGATGAAACAAAATAATTTGCAGCCAGAACAACATGGTCACATGGCATATATAGTTTTATTTCTCATTTATATTAATAATATTTTTGTTTTAGCTTCACGTATTCTTCTTCTGAACTTTTTATTTTCAGTTTAGTTGCCTTATGTATCACAAATGCCTTGATATAGCACGTGACATAGGAAATCTTAATTTATGGAGGCATAGTAAACTTTTAAGAAGTCATGTTCTTTTGACCTGGTTTAAATAGTTAAGAGAGATGATGCCAAAGTAACAATAAGCCCAGAAGAAGAAAATAAACTAGATTTCCTGTGGAATAATGGTCAAAATAAGAGTTAATAGTAAAATGGGTTCCAATAAGCAAAATGAGGAAACGATCTAAGGTTTTTTAATCTGAGTTCTCAACTACAGGTGATCTTACCTTCAGGGTACATTTAGCAATATCCGGAGATATTTTTGATTGTCATAACTTACCAGTGGGTACTTGATTATAGTGTATAGAGGCAAGGGGATGTGGCCAAACATCCTCCAAAGCACAAAATACCTCTGCACAATGAAGGATCATCCAATGCAAAATGCCACTAATGCTGAGGTTGAAATACTGACATATAGGTAACCCTACCCCCGTTCCTTACCTCTTATCTGCTCATCACTTTAATAAAGCAAGAATTGCTTAAAAATCTCTTTAATATCATATGACATAAAATGATAAAGATATAATATGATATGATATGAAGTGATCTACTGGGTTGAATAGAGTCCTCCAAAAAATCTGGTTCAGTGGGAGTTTGTGAATATGACTCTCTTTGAAAATAGGGTCTTTGCAGATGTAACAAAGTTAAGATGATACAATATTGAATTAGAGTGGGCCCTAAATTCAGCACCTAAAGTCCTTATAAAGAGAGGGTGACTAGAGAGAAAGACAGAAACGTAGAGATACAGAGGAAGGAGACAGAGAAGAATGAGATCCCTGTGACAATAAAGGCAGAGATTAGAATGATACCAGTTGAAGTCAAGGAACACCTAGGATTGCGAGCCATTCCCACAAGTTAGCAAGAATCAAGGAAGGATCCCTCCCTAGAGACTTCAGAGAGATTATGGCCCAGTCGAAATATGATAGAAAACTTCTAAAATCCAGAACGTTGAGATAATTAATTTGTTTTGTTTTAAACAACCGGGTTTGTGGTACTTGGTTTTGACATCCCCAGGAAATTAACACGTGTGCTCTGGATATGATACGCTATGATATGTGATATAACATAATTACATCGTATATGTAATGGCCAGATTTCTTGATGTTGAGTATAAGGGAAACAAAATTCCATGATTCTTGTCTCCAGAGTAGGCTAAAATGTAGATTGAATGGTAAGTATTTTGCTAAGTGAAGACATAAATACTCTTTATAAAACTTCCCCAAACATCAGTAGTGTTATTATTTGGCATTCAGAATACTAATCTTTTAAAAAAGAAAGCATCCCCAGTAAATAGAGGATTACAAAGACCAATTTGAATTTATTTTCTGCAAAAAAATCAACATATAGAATGGCTCAATCTTTGTAAAAATTCTACTCATATCTTAAGAGAAAGGTGATCCATATTTTATGCTTTTTGAAGGTGTACTTCCTGTCTGAGTAAATATAATATGTCCAAATTTGTTTACATTATACTAAGAATTTTAAAAGAGAGATTGGTATTTTGTTTAGTTGTAAAATATTTAAAAATTCAACAATAAGACTCAGTAAGGTATAGTTACGTGCTGTGCTTCAAATGATTGACATTAAATTATATGTAAGTCCTGTAGCAGGAAAAGTTGGTTATATAATTTGATAATCACTGCTAATCCAATGCAAAGAAATTTAAAGTAGTGTTAAATTCAGACCAAAGAAGAATAGGAATGTTTCTTATCTAATGCCTACATGTTATTAAAGAAACGCATTTGAAAAATGAAATATTTATTCAAATAGTTTTTCTGAGTCATAAAATTTTAAAGTCCTTAAAGTGGTTATTTGAATTCTACTGCACAAATTGGATGTTATTCACACTACACTGGAATTGCAGATATGATTTCCATTTTTAGAATAATTTAGTTTTTTTATTAGTTACTTAAATATTATTGAAGTAGCTATATTTACTTTTAATATTGATGAGTTAGATAATCCTATGTAAAAATTACACTACAATGAAAATCTGAAATAATTGCTCATTTAAATAGAATAGGCATGAATATATTGACTACATTACTTTCGTTTTCCTTTTTAATGACTATATTTAGTTCTAAATGACTGATTAAAAAAAAAAGTTCTTCATTTTTTAAATACACTACCCCACAGAAGATTCCTTAATTTTACCCTGAATAAAGCAACAATAGCGCATATACATTGATGTATTTAAAATAATGTTTTTAATCTTCAGATGGCTCATAGTTAAATATATTCTACATTCTTGAAAATATTGTTTATTGATTTACAGATAAGGAACTTCATAGTAATTTTAAAATGCCATCTCAAGGGGTATATGTGTTTATTATTCTACATTCTAGTGTTCATTTTTCCATAAATAAAACTGGAAAATGTCTGACCTGCCTGGTGTCAATAGCAGCAAATGGTACATAAACTTTCACTCTTCAACCACATAGACTGCTGTAAACCGTCTAATATGTTTGAACATAAAAAAGGACTGGAAGCTCAAAGATAGAGATGATAGTCCTCTTGTATATCTAAATGTTAAATATTATGTTAGGGAATAATTTAGGAAATATTGCAAAAGTTATCCCATGCTATGAGGCAGCAAAACTGGTTCAGTGCTTTTAACATTTTATTCAACCTAACTAAACTAACCAAACTATTTCTATATCAGTTTATTAAAATCATATCACTCTACTTGGAGGAAATTGATGCTTTCTAAATTAAAATAAAAGTAAATGAAGAGTTTTCTTAGATTTATGTTTGCACTTAAGCATTTGGTTTCCTTTGAACACCCCAGTAACTGTATTGTTAAGTCACTGCTCATATCTACACCTTGATTACTCTTCAAGATAGCCTCAGTCCTTTTAACAGTGCCTGGCACATTACTAGTCAATAAACATATGCTGAGTGAATAAGCTCAGGACGAAAGTTGTGATAATTTTATAATACCTTAAATATATAATGAACAAAGATAAATCTGGAATAATAACCATTGCAATACCTATGGCAGCATAAGTCTAGAACATGTTTAAACTGTAGAAAGAAAATAACATATTCATGGGTGAGTTAAATTATAACTCAATTAAGCTCTGCTAGTTATGTTTAAAGACAAAAGTGTTAACAACTTGTTGCATCTAAAGTTAAAATATTATTATTTAGTCATATTAACAAGAAGTAAAACTAACAAAAAGCCCTCTGAGCTACAGAGGCAAATATTCTAAAATTTGAAGTAGTTTCAATAACAAAACAAAGTTTTGAGGAAATAATAATATAACTGGTAATACTCATAATTGAAAAAACAGAAATAAAATTATGAAATAATTCTGAAAATTACAAAACAAAATCACAAAATAGAGAGAATAAAAATTATAGAGAAATAAAATATGTTTGCTTAATAGATGCTCATAAATCAAAAGATATAATCAAAATTAGAGTCTTCACAGTATGTTGGAAGATGGTCTTCATTATCCAATTGTGAAATAGATATTACAGATGATTTTCAGGTGTAAAACAACATTATATTATTTATGAAAATGAATACAAAAATGTATTTTAAAAAATATACCTAACTCTTAAAAATATACCTCATTATGAGATTCAGTGGAAGAAAAAACTGTTTTAACTGTTAATAATCATTTAGTTATAAGAGCATTGAAACTTGTTGGTAT